AACAACAACAAAACAGTCGGATTGAAGCTCCCAAGCAACAATATAACACAAAATAGTCTTATTTTCAAATGGAAACGCAATAACCTTAAACAGTTTCTAATTCTGCTTAATTTTACGAAATTTCGATCGTACATTATATTCTATATAAAACGGTTGCTTATGTCTCTGTACTCATAAACACGCTGGGAACTATAGAGCACTAGAGACAAAGCTTGTTTCTCTTGCTTTTCGAGTGCTCTACAGCTTCCAGCTGAGTGTTTATATCACAGTACAGAGACATAAGCAGCTGTCTTATATTACTTTTATAAAATATTTTTGAACAATTATCTCTGTGTCTCTGTCCACTGATATAAACACGGTAGCCAACAAATCGGCGCGCGCGTTATATCTTAAATACTTTATGATATATTATACATATCTGTTCTAAATAAAAAAACATATTGAATATGAAACTAAGGACGAAGGACTAGCGTCCGAAACGTCAGTAAGTTTTTTCATCTTTTCACGGTGTAAAATTTACCCTTTTATCATTACTGTTTCATTAGAAACACCGACGCAGCTCACACTAGTTTTTAACTAGTTATCTCTTCTTGTGAAACTAAATGTTAAGTGCAGCCGTGGAAATATTTTGCATGTGATCTATATCTTTCCTAAGGGACAGATCGTTATTAGTGCTTGAACGGGTAGCGAGCGAGGGAGGAAAGTCGTTGCAACATCATTAAGATAACTACTCCCCACCAAAAARCACTATCGTTTTTTAGTCAGTGATCTATCGGCTTGCGGTTGCTACTTAATGGCCTTGTGTTTAGTACCTGTCAATATATAGCTCATTTACCCCCGAGTTGTGTAAGACACGTGTGACCCCCCTTCCTCTCCAATTCTCTTACCCCCCTAATAACGGTGACAAATAATGTTGACTCGGAAGCTTAAGGTGCGTGAGGAACTTTGGGTAGTTAAAAAGGGTCAGAGCTCCCGGATGTTCGACTCCGAATGTGTAAAGAATGTCGTCAAAACTGTGGCTTTGGAAAAATTCTCTTGCTTTGGTCTGTTAGTCAGTAGTGAAGGAACAATTTTAAGAAATAGAAAAAGGGTTTTCCGCGGTATGTGCGCCGAAACATGTTCATGGAATAAAGAAACTTGTTCTACAGTTGACTCTCCCGTAAGCGACCACCCCGGGGCCAGGAGAAAGTGGTCGCTTACGGGAGAGGGAAAACAATGAAAAATTCCAAAATTTTAACCCCAAATGTGGTCGCGGTCGCTTACGAGAGTGGTCGCTTACGAGAGAGTTTTTTTTACAGAGTTTATATGGGGAACAAAACGAGAAATTCAAAAGGTGGTCGCTTACGGGAGATGGTCGCTTACGAGAGTAGTCGTTCAAAGAGAGTCAACTGTATTTCTTAAAATGCTCTTGCTTTATAAGAAAATGAGTAGAAGGACAGGGTCTAACTTGAAATTATTCATTGAAATAACTTCCATTAGATTCCCTGATCGATCTGTACTATAGAAATCCGTTATCGTAGAATGATAAGTTATACTATAGAAATCCCTTTGATTGAATTACCGCTCCAATCCGGCTCTCAAATTTAATCAATATAGGGTTATCATTACAAAGCCCATATCATTTGCGTCCTTGCCGAAGGTGTCGTACTTTCCATGGAAACCTTTTGGAAAGCTCTGGATAAAATTGTATTATCTTGTTTTTCCCCTGCCTAATATAGGGTTATCATTACAAAGCGCATATCATTTGCGTCCTTGCCGAAGGTGTCGTACCTTCCATGGAAACCTTTTTTGGAAAGCTCTGGATAAAATTGTTTTATCTTGTTTTCCCCCTGATTAATATAGGGTACGTTAACATGACAAAACCTGTATAATTCACACTTTTGCGGCCTTGCCGAAGGTGTTGTACTTTTCATGGAAACTTTGTGGAGAGTTTTGGACAATAACGCAATTACGCCTTTTCTACTGCGGATATAAGTATTGAGCCGGTAATATGAAATATTTTTTGCTAAAAATAAAGGCTGGAAACATTCTGTCATAAGGAAAGCGTATAAAAATCAAACAAAAGAATAAAGAAAATAATATTTGAACAGAGGGGCTTTGCACCATCACAGTGGTACCATGACAGGTGACAAGAACAATTGAATCCGGTCTAGTCTCCCAGGTTAATAATGTGCCTCCTGTCATGGCTGCCATCACGTGATGCCGCAAATTCTCTATAAAAAATCCAATACGTTTTCTTTTTTTCTTTCTTCTTCTTCTTTTTTCTTTTCTTTTCTTTTCTTTTTTTTTTTTTCTTTTTTTCTGCCGTTAACCATTCTAAGAAGGAGGAAAAAACTGGATCGAGTTGGCATTGCAGTGCATTGTGGGATGGTTAGGAACGCACGTATATTGGAAATATGTCGCCTAAAACAATCCCACAATGCACTGCAATGTCAACTCGACCCAGTTTTTTCTCTCACCGCGGAACGGCTAAAAATAACTAGCGGTTAATTGTTAGGACTGCGTTATAGTCTGCTGTAGGAGACCGTTACACAAACAGTTACAAACTTTTTTATACGATGTTTAAGTTCTCTTCTTATTTACTCAGAAGCCTCATTTGAATGAAAAGAAGACTTAAAATACAAAACAGAATGACATTATAATGACAGCATAATGACATTATGCTTTAAAACAATTAGTCCAAAGCCACTGTCTCCTGTCTTCTCTTTTGCAAACTAGTGCGTCGCGATGCAAGGCCTGGACGTTAGTTAAACTTTGGTCTAAATAAACTTACAGAATGTTTCAGCATGAATATTTTTATACACTGTTTAAGTTTCATATCACTCATAAACCTCATTCGCTCACTCATTGATGATAAGCGTAGAGCGCAATGAGAGCAGGAAGTCTAGACTTTTGCTTTTTTGACTCAAAATCATGATCTTTGTGGTTTGCGGYTTTTGTTTTTTGTTTTTTGCTAACCGTTCCTGCATCGAAACGTTGACGACATTCTGCTCTAAAGACAACAAGTTTCAATGATGTTTCAATGATCCTTAGAATAAACACCAACTGTGCTAATTATACTTCACCAAGAGAATATGAACTAGTTCACTTGATTTCACCTATAACAGAGGCAGTCCTTGCTTGCTTCCTTCCTTTCTTGATCCTTCCGTCCCTTCTTTATTCCTTCAATCCCTCCTTTAGTTCCGGCCTTACCTTCCTTTGTTCCTTCCTTATCTACTTCCATTTATCTTCCTTTCCTTCTTTCCTTCCTTCCTTCCTTCATTCGTTACTTTCTTCCTTCCTTTCTTCATTCATTCCTTCCTTTGTTCCTCTTTTCGTTTCTATTTTCGTTCCTTCCTTATCTACTTCCATTTATCTTTCTTTCCTTCTTTCCTTCCTTCCTTCCTACTTTTCCTGCTATGTATTACTTTCTTCATGTATTTTTCAAGTTTCTACACTTTTTCAGTATCATTGATTCAGAAACTTAACTTAACATTTGCGACTACAATCAAACCTCATGAAAATTGTTAATGATTATTCAATCACGTCGTTTCAACAGAAGGAAGAGAAAGCAATTATTATGAGAGGATTAAGGCGGCGGATACTAGGGTACGTAAAAGATGGTTAAGAGTATTCATGATGCCCTTGTACGTAAGCATTTAGTTAAATGCGGTAGTCTTTTTTGCGCTGTTATTTGTTAAGTTTAACCAAGCTTTAAACACAGAATGATAGAAAATATTTACCTCTAAAACTGGTTGCCAAAATGGATGAATATCTGTCTGAAATTTCTTACTAAACCGCTCCGCAGTATCTGTCCAAATATCTTGAAAAGTTGTACCAAAGCATCGAGTAAAATCAAATAATCATAAGCTTTGAGGRACATGTAAAAACTTTGACAATATAGCTTATAGATATCTTATCGGTATACACGTAGTTCTATGTGTTCGGCAATGTGTGGGTCTAATCTCTGGTATGCATATGATCATAAGGGATTTCTCAAGTACCCCATACAATACGTCGGTTAGAAATTTCGAGGAAACACGACATGAAGTCGTGCTATGATGACAGTAAGATAGGATTAATATATGTACCAGGCTTACCACAACGTTTCCTCAAGATTGCGTGCGCATCCAAATTTAAGGAACTTGACGCTCACGACACCAGAACAGGAGCTTTATAATGAGAATTATCATACATTTCTATTAGATTTTTCAATAAGAGACATCATATAATTGACTATTCTTCTCCTTAAATATAAAACTGGCTTCTCAATTTTACTGAATTTGCGGTTTTCATTTTTGTGGCCCGTCAAGTTGGATGCGCACGCAACCTTGAGAAAACGTTCTATTGGGCTATATTTAGAAATACATGACGTAATGCTCCACTTAGCACGTACGGTTGAGTAAAAATACATGATGGTCGAGATGCGGTGCTTCAAATTCTTCGTTTGCACGCGACGTCACAGACCAAGAAAATAACAGTTTAAACTTAATCATGAGTCGTCTTGTTTCGAATCTCAACATAGAAAACCCTGAGTACTTTCATGATTTTTTTATTGATTTGTTTATGACGTACAGAAAACTTTATTCTTCGATATGTTTTAGAGAACTATGGTGTAGAAAAAGTGTAGAAAATTTCAGATCATTTCGCCGTTTTGTTTCCGAGTTGTGCAAATATAATTTTCTAATCACGGCAATCCTCACCTAAGATGCCGTACATTTGCGGACAAAAAAAATAAAATAAAATATAATTTGAAGTTCAAAAACTACACTTTCCATGTCGAAATCACGTCGATTAAAGTTGAAATCTAAATGAACAAAGTCGAAATAGCATCAATTATTGTTTACAGTTTCAAGTTGGTTTAAAGTAACGTTCGGCATATGATGCTATTTCGACTTCGTTCAGTGGCGGATCCAGGGGGGGTTCGAAGGGTTCCACGGAACCCCCCTTGAAGGTTTCTTTTAGGTAATAGAAATATGTCTTATATAAATTTTGCTTAAAAGTATCCACAAGGATAATGTTGAACACGAAATGATAAATATTTGCTGTTATAATGTTTAATTTACCTTTAAGTTCCGTTACTAGATAGTAAAATTAGGTGATTAGAGCCAATTTTTTTGTCAAACATCGACTAAACAAAAGAGAATTATACACAGTTTAAGAAACGGAAYCCCCCTTTGAAAAATCCTGGATCCGCCACTGTCGTTCATTGAGATTTTGTTTTTAAATCCTGGAACACGTGACCATTTTCTTAAGTATTATTATTTTTATTTACAATCAAAGTTAAAAAATTCCAATAATACAGTGGATGAAAATTGATCTACTTTCCCATAGCTCATAATGTCTTGTTTAAGGTAGAAACCAGTGAAAAAACTTTCCTAAAGCCAAACGTTATTACTAGTCTGCGTTGTTCGTCGGTCTGCGGTCTCTCCATCAACGCAGGCTAGAATCTTACAACAATTACAGGTATTCTCTACTTTCTCATGATCCATAATACTTTGCGCCTTAGGGGTAACCAATCCAATCAAAACACTGTCCCAAAATGAAACGTTCAACGTTGTTATTAAATATRCRCTATRCCTATACCTGCTTTTATCTGTACAATGCTGATTATCAGTTTATTCCGAGGTAATTTCGCGCGTTCAGAATAGAAAATGTTTGGTGTTACAKAAAATGTATTGGTTTACGAAGAAATGTTTATATTTTACTTCGAACTTCTTGAAAAGACTTCTTGCATGTGACGTCAAAGCAGCGTAATTTGGAGGACAAAACAAAAGAATAAGCCTGAAGCGAGTGACGTTTTACCCCCGACTCTATACCATAATAGTTTTTAAAATTCTTTCATATTAAAATTTTTGATTCCTTAGAGAACACAGGAACAATAGTCATAATTAAAGAACAAAAGCAATGTGAAAAGGATTATGGTCTAGAGACGGGGGTAAAACGTCATCTCGCTTCAGGCTTATTCCAAAATACTAAACTGAGCTGCGCATGCGTTCCGACGTGCTGCAAGGGGTCTATAATTAATATCTCTCTGTTCTTGGAGTAGTTTTCCTTTGATTGTGAAAAGCTCGGTGCCGTATGCGTGTCTTGACGCGACCGTGACGTTTTCTRGAATTTTTATTGGCTGATTTTTTCTCGCGTAATGTGATTGGTCTGGCAGAACCGTGACATTGGCGTGACATGTCTGCGCCCTGTTCCTGCCTTGTTTCGTGTATTTGATTGGATGGAGAGTAAATTTTCGCGCACTGCGATTGGTCTGGCGACTTCTCTAACTATTTCCTTTTATGTTCGTATATCAAACGAGGTATTTCAAGATCGTCCATCAGCATTTGGCATAAGTCCTTTTTCCACCTCTGGTTACCGCCTAACACCGCATAGTATTATGGGTATGGAAAGCATAGATTTGTCTAGAATGGCGTGACAGGACATGAAAGGACACACACATTAAGAATTATCATAATTCCATCGTTGATAGATCCCCAACCTTAAATATTAATATTCCGTATCATTTAAAAAAAATACTTTGATGTGAGATTCGCCACATCTCAACCCTAACTTCCCCAAATATATTTTTCCTTTATAGAAAGAGAAAACTTATGAGAATCACTAAAATAGACGTCTTTACTTTGGGTGTAATGTTTTCCCATTCCAGACCACGTGTCATTCCCTAGAGTATCATTTCTTTGCTTAATGAAGACCCATGAATATGGATAGGACTGAAACAAAGAATCTTATTCTCAAGAGAATGACACGTGGTCTAAAATCGGAAAACGTTACGCCGAAGGTAAAGAGGTCTGTATATTGATTGAAAATTGTAAAAAAAGTCATGCCACATTAATGTAGTGCATAAATCTATAAATCCCTGATTTATGTGATTAATAAGCTATAGCCTGTATTGCTTGGCAGTCAGTGGCTGTAGAAATGGTACACTGCTAAGCAACGCCCAGCTGATCTAAGAAAAAAAATATCAAAAAGCAAATCAGAAACCGAGAAAATTTGCAAAACTGAGGTGTCGCTTTTCCTCTTGAAGTCACTGATTTTCACTGCTCACCAAATGAGAAAAGTTCTTTATAATACTTGATGACAGTGACACGCTAATTCCTGAGTTTTATATGGACATATTTTTAATTTTTCACTGATCAATTTTCGCGCAGACACCTCAGTTTTGTAGTGACGCCATTACTACGTTACTATTTTAGATCAGCTGGACAGGTTAATGATTCTTTTCATTTTTTGAAATATGTTAAAGAATCGTTATGTATATAATTCATTCATTCATTCATTCTGTTTGTTTCTCTGACTGTCTGTCTGTCT